TTGACACACCTGGGTTGAGGGAGCCTCAACTGAGGAATTTCCTTCATTGGACTGGCCTATGGCCATGTCCGTGGGGCACCTTCTTGATTGTTGAGTGATGTGGGAGGGCCCAGCCCACTGTGGGTGGTACCATCCCTGGGCAGGTGGGCCTGTGTTGCATAAGAAAGCAAGCTGAGCAGGGGCCAGGAGAGAAAGCCAGTAAGCAGTGTTCCTCCATGGCCTGCGCTCGAGCTCCTGATTCCAGGTTCCTACCTTGGGCTCCCTGATGAACTGTGACCTGGGAGATGTAAGACAAATAAACCCTTTCCTCCCCAAGTTGGTAGTGGTCAAGAGTGTTTTGTCACAGCAATGGAGAAACAAACTAGGACAATCACTAAACTACATCCTCCACAATCAAATTATACATCATACATATATATATATATATCCTGTTTATTATATATCAATTATACTCAAGTTGTAATAGTACTTTTTTTTTGTCTTTTTGAGACAAGGTCTCCCTGTAGTCCCAGCTGACCTGGAACTCACTATGGAGACCAGGCTGGCCTTGAACTCACAGACATCCTCCTGCTTCTGCCTCCCGAGTGGTGGGATTAAAGGCACACGTCACCATGCCCAGTTTGTAACAGTAATTTAAAAAACTCCTAGTACTCGCCGGGCTTGGTGGCCCAGACCTGTAATCTCAACATTTGGGAGATTGAGGCAAGAAGATTGCTATAACTTCTAGGCAAGCCTGGGCTATATAACAAGTGTCAAACCAGCCTGGGCTACAGTATAAGACACCATCTCAAAAAAGAAAAACAAAACAGGGCCATCAAGAGAGCTCAGTGAGTAGTTTGATTCCTGGAACCCAAGGAAGGAAAGAACCAACTCCTGAAAATTGTCCTCTGATTGTGGCATGCACATATTTCTCTCTCTCTCTCTCTCTCTCTCTCTCTCTCTCTCTCTCTGTTAGTAAAAAATAAAATGTAAAACAATTAATTTTAAATTAAAAACCAAACTGAAACCTCTTAGTGCTGAGGAGGATGGGCTTAGCAGAGAGCCCCCAAAGGGAAAATGAACTAAACTTATCAGACCTAAGCCACCATCTTGACTTTAGGTGATTACATCACAAAAGGCTCTCCTAGGTCCTATGAATGGGAAACAAAGACTGAAGAAGGCAAACAGCTCCAGCAATGGGCCTAATTACTCTCTGAATGCAAAAATATTATTACTGTCTGTTGTATAAGACTTCCAGAGAAGACCCAACAAATGTCTACTCACCCCAGATGGGGCACTGACATCAGACCAAAATGCTAATTCCACCACATGGTGAACTGGTGAGTTTATTGGGGTTACTGCAGAAATAAGAGTGAGGGGTTCCTTACAGGTCCGTGGGTGTCTCAGAGGCTGCTATGCCACTGAAAAGCCCACTCTAGTGTGGGTGAAGACTCAAAAGCTGCTTGCTTCCCTAAGGTTTCTAGTACCAGCTGGAGGCAGCTGACAGTCCACTCTCCTAAGGTAACTCCACTGGTTTCCTCTCCTCAACAATTGTTTACTGCTTCTGTAACCTCAGGGAGGGAGGGACCTTGTGAATCTTGTAAGTTTCAGCATTGGGACTTGTGAGGTTTGTTCATTTCCTGAGTCTCTTGACCTCCCTCCTCATACCAGGAAGGAATGTTTCAGTTGGAGGATATTGCCAAGCAAGAGCATCCCAGTTTCTGGTTAGAATGTTGAAGAAATCTGATTTTCTTGACATCTGATTCTCTTAGATTTAGTGGCATTTCCCTTAGGACACTGGGATGTCACTCTGTCCATGCCTTCCAGTCACAAACTAAGAGTAGCTAAGAGTAAACTTGCTAAGAGCAAAGAGGCCATGAAAACTGTTGGGTGTGGGTGAGGATCTTGCAGGGACCACTCTGACCCTGTGGTATCAGACCATTTCTTCTGTGAGTCTTCAGACCGTCTGTGAGGAAGAAGACAATACACTGTTAACTTCAGTACCAATGGAGCTTTTTCAGAATACATGAGGCTGAAAAGAGCACCTCCCAGGAACTAGAGGGCTGCTCAAGGGTCCTTGGGACCTGATTCTTTTACTTCGATTTAAATCTATCTTCAGAAGGCTCAATCCCCCTCCCCCCTCCACCTTACTCCTCTTGATCTTTTTCTTATTCCTGAAGCCCTAGGCAATGTCCCCAAGTAGTAATCAATTAAGTATTCAACACTCTTTAGGTCCCTTCCAAATCTCAACTTTTATGATGATGGCAGTTTTCATCAGTACTGTCCTAGGCCTCTGTTTTCAGATTTGCTTCCTAGGCGCAAGAGGTAAAACTAATATTGCTATTTTGGGTGTTTCTTATGGAACCCAGGTCTTGGAACCCACTTGGCAAAAGCTCTATCAATAAGCTACATCCTCAGTCAATACATTCATTCTATTCCCAGTCTGCAAAACAGGGAAATTAAAGAAATTTAAGTTGTGCCCTGTTTCAATCATGCAAAAGAACTTGAGTTTGGAGTGTCAGAATCTAACAGAAGTTTGGTACCAAGCTAGCAAGCTTGGCAGAATTTCTCAGCAAGCCATCTGCACAGAAATGACCTTGTGATTAAGGCCAATTCCAAGAGCCATGCCAGATGTAAGGCAGCAGTGAGATGTTCCGGAAAAAGTGTTGGAGACTTTCATTCTGAGGTACTCAAGCAGGAGCTGTTCTGCCTTAAAGGAATAGTCTGCATCTTCTTTCACATATACATTGTACTTTCACTGTACTTTGTTTCTTGGGTGAGAAACTCTAAAGAATGTATAGCAGGTACAGACCTGTGTTCCTGAGCTTACAGTGAGATGGGGAGGGGTAGGCTAGGCGGTGCTGGGAAGAGGTGTGCCAACACAAATGTCCTATGGGGACTTGGCAGATTTGCTAGGAGATTTGAAAGGATGTGCCCTAGTTCCCCCTGCTCCAGGCTAAGGAACTTGGAGTCATGGGAAAGGGCAGGGAGGTGTTGGTGGAAAAAGGCTAGCATGCAGAACTAGGCTGATGCCAAGGGATTATTAGAACTCCCGTGACCTCAGGAGGAGTGGGTTAAGAACCTGAGGAACTCTCAAAAAGAAAGGAAAGGGTGGAGGAAGGTTCACTTATTTCCTGATTATCATGCTGTGTAGAAATACTCGGGTTTTAGGGATCAGAAGTTGGCTGGGAAGCCAAGGTTTGAGAATTCCAGGACACTAAATCCACTGTACTATCTACCCAATGGTGGGGGGTGTTTGATAAATTCACAAAAGACTCAAGACATTATCAGGGCTGGAAGAGGTGGAAACACTCCATTCTATCTCCTGTCCTCCCTATCTCCATTCTAGCCACTGTCCTCCCTACCTGGGCAACACCCAAGGCATTTAGGTGATTCCTACTTAGACATCCCAACTTAACTTTTCACCTTTTCTAAGCCCCAGTTGGGATAGGTGACCTTCTTTGTGCTTCCAAAGAGCCACATACTTGCCCATTATTGTATAACATAACATCATGCCATTTTTGGCTTACATCTCTGTCTCCCCAACCAACAACCTGCATTCCTGGAATAGGAACTGTTCTTGCTGTGTCTGTCATGGCCAGGTCAAGGCCTCTTACCGAGTAGACAGATGCCCACATACCTACAAAGATGGCTTCAGCAGAATGGACATTTAGGGTGTTACAGTGAAGGGAACCTAGTACCACATGCCTCCTACCCAATAGAAATACGGTTTGCTTTCAACACCAGGGCACCCTCTTGCCCACTCTGCCCAATCTCCCAGGAAGCTGCCAAGAAGGGCCATTCCAGCTGGCAAAGTGGTGAGATTTTCTTCCTGGAAGGATTCTTGGCTGAAGAACTAGCTCTTGCTTCTTCTAAGCCTTTGATGCCATAAAGTTGCTGAAGACGTAGACGGAGGGATAAATTGTTAGCCCTAGCTTTGTCACTGTTCCTAAAACCCCATATTGCCCACCTCTTCTCTCCCAAGTGCCTATGGCAAGGACAGGGATTCCCAATTTTTCTCAATTCTGACTGGAGAGTGGGGCTACTTACACACTGATGTTAGGAGTAGCACTGCCTCTGCCACATGTCCCATCCCTAACTAATAAGCAGGGCAAAGCTATAGTTCACTAGACTGGAAAACAGGCGCAGGCCCCATATGAACAAGAACTGCTTAGCATGTACATGGCTTATGCTCAATCCCCGGTAACACACACACATACACACAAAGGGATTTACACAGTTCTCATTAACTCACTGCAGGGACACAGCCAATATGTGAGAATGAGAATTCATCCATCTGTAAAGCTGTAGTCTTTTTCTTTTCAAGGTCTTTCTGTAGCCCTAGCTGGCCTGGAACTCAAGATCTAAGATCCACCTGCCTCTTCCTCCCAAGTGCTAAGATTAAAGGGATGCACCACCACACCCAGCAAGCCCTGAAAAACCTCCCCACCACACTTGCTAGGCAGAGATGGTCACTACAGAGCCCTTTCCCAGCCCAGTAAATACATAACCAATCATACTTTTATTTTCCTTTTAATTTTTCTGAAGGATATACACCACATATCCCATGGGCAATAAAAGCGCATTCAATGTGTTTATAAGCCAAACAAGTCACTTTGTTTAAGCAAACACAAGTAACAAAGTAAAATAAAACCACAAAATAATGAACTTCATGTTCATAACATACAAAAATCGCCGCCTACTCAGTAGGTAACTACAACATTCCAACTCCTGAATATATGTATAAATTGACATTTTCAGTTTAAAAAAATAGACTTTTGAGAGTTCAGATTGTTTTAAATTTTTGTTTCCTTACATTCTGAAGAACCAAAGCACAGCTCAGCCCTTTTCCTCATTGTGCTCTCAAAGCCTCCCTAAACACCACTCCTGCCCCTACCCCTTAAGGCTAGAGGTGAGCATATCCCTCACAATTGCACATGTCAAGCCATCAGCAAGGCGTGTCCCACAAAGGCACCAAGACGTGAAATTTTAAACCAAAGGGATGGGAAAACTTTTTTCCAAAAAAAAAAAAAAAAAAAAACCAAACCATATTTTGTCACATGTGAGAGTACAGTCAAGCAGTATTTACAAAAAGGTTAACGGAACAACACTCTGACACATGCTCTGATTAATACTTAGGACTGGCGTTTCAAAAAAATGTTTCAATCTTATTGTCACAGCATCATCACAAAATAGAGGATCACCATTGGTTTGCTTGGCTTTTCTTTTCCCCCCCAGAATTGAGGACCTAGCTCCAAATAATACAAGAGTATGCAAATTATCTTCACATCAAGAATACCCCAAGAAAAACAAAATCCATGGCACAGACACTGTACAAAGATAAAGGGCAGGGTTCTGAGGGCCCAAACCCATTTTGCCATCTTGATTTTTCTAGCACTGAAGGGAGCAAGGGTCAGGCATATAATGGAGATGATACTGAAATGATTTATCCAATACCCATGCAAATCAAGTTCTTTGGATAGAGGTGAACTTTGACATGGTTGTTTCAGGCAGCTGAAGTCAAAGGGAATAATTAGGGAGGAAGGGGAAGTGGGCAAAAGGATTGTTGGCCAACAGACCTTCCATTATTGACTAGAGGAAGGACTTGGCTCTGAGAACTTCCAATCTGACCTAAGAGAACCTCCTCTGATGGCCATTTCCTCCTCCTGTCCTTTTAAGTCTTTCATGGTTTTCTCCCTTTTCCCCTTTAGCAAATTTCAATTGTCCTGGGAGAAAAGGTTGCTGTCATGTCCGAAAGCCCAGTTGAGGCGCTGAAGGAGTTGGTGACAGCTGCAGAAGGGAAGCTGCTGACCTGGGCAGGGAAAGCAGGTGGAACCGAGGCATATGTAGTGGCCACTGACGGTGAGGAGAAGCCACTGTGTACAGGAGATGGGTAGGTGGAGGAGCCAGGAGAGGAGTAGGAGGTGGGCACTGGGGATGGGTAAGAGGTAGCCACTGGGGATGGGTAAGAAGAGAGGGAAGAGGTGGCCGAAGAGGCCACAATACTTTTGTCTGCTTTCTTGTCCTTCTGTCGCAAGTGGATCTTGGTATGCCTCTTGCGTTCATCACTCCTGGCAAACTTTCTTCCACAGATGTCACAGGCAAAGGGCTTCTCGCCCGTATGGGTGCGAATGTGGGTGGTTAGGTGGTCGCTGCGACTGAAGTTGCGCATGCAGATTCGGCACTGGAAGGGTTTCTGGCCTGTGTGGATCCGGATATGGCGGGTGAGCTCGTCTGAGCGAGAGAAGCGCCGATCACAGGACTCGACAGGGCAAGCATATGGGCGTTCATGAGGAGGTGTCTTGCTGGGCCGGTTGGGGTACTTGCGCATGCGGCTAGGTTTGATGAGCTGGGACTGGTAGGTGGTATTAAGGGCCTTTAGGTCCTGGGAGCCCGACTGAGTAGCAAAGGCCTTAATAGTGGATAGTGGAGTAAGTGAAGGCTGCTGGGTACGGCTCTCCAGACCCTGGAAGGGCTTCTGGTCTGGGGTGCCCAGGCCCAGATCTCCCTGTTGTTGTGGAAACAGATAATCAGGGATCATGGGAACCTGGAAGCCACCCTTGGCAGCAGGGTAGGCAGGAGGCGGGTATTGCAGCGCTGTGCCCGAGGAGCCCGGAAAGGCCTGGCTTTGTGGCTCAGGAAAAATGTCTGTGTTGGGTGTCGGGAAGGTGGGTGCCGCTGAGTAAATAGGGCTGCTGTCGTTGGATGGCACGGCACAGCTCAGGGGTGGGCTCTGGGAGGCAGATGAAGAAGAGGACGCCGTTGGAGATGATGCTGAGGACGACGAGGCTGGTGGATTGGTCATGCTCACCAGGCCACTGACTAGACTGAAGAGAGGCTCAGGCCACAAAGCGTTGCCACTGTTGGGTGCAGGCTCCAGAGAGAAGCGGCCAGTGTACGTGATGGGTGGCAACCGAGTGGTTTGGCTGGGATAACTTGTCTCCACCATCACCTTCTCATTATTCAGAGAGATGTCAGGAAAAGATTCTGGCAGGAAAGAGAAGAGGCCCGGTTACTGGAGAGCAATCACTGGAGGACGATGAGGGCTGAAAGCTGCCAAGCAAGAGGTCGCCCGGCTACCACTGACTCCCAAGGTGGTTAATAATTGATAGCAGCAGATTGCAATGTTCTTGGACCTGCTCCAGTGGCAGAGCCCATTTCAACAACAGATGACGCAAACAGAGAATCCCCCTCTACTGCAGCTGAGAGCTCTCCGCAGCACAGGCTGCGCGGGCGAGGGAATCCCGCCAGCATCCCCGCGGTCACGACTAATGCGCGCCCCCTTCCCCGGGCTGCCGGGGACATCCCTGGCCACACAGCTCAGCCCTTCCTTAGGGACCGGCGGCAGGCAAGGCAAGCCTGGGAGGCTGGGGGGCAACCCAGCTTCTCAAAACAAGCCCTCCCTCCTCCAACCACCCACGCAGATCCAGAGCTCTCCATCCAAAACAAATGCTCGGTCCTCTGCGCACCTCTAGGGTGGAGGGTGGGGGGTGTCCCCAAACATCCTAATACAAGACCCTGGAAATGAGAGGCAACCCCAGCATCACTAAGGTCCAGGAGCATTCCCTGCAACAAAGGACTGGACGTCAGGATGGTCGCGAAGGGGTTCAGGGGTTCGTCCTCGGCATAGGCCACGGCTTACCTGTGGTCAGGTGCTCGTAGGGTTGCTCAGCCGGTTCCCCCTGAGGGTTGAAGGCGCTGCTGCTGCCGCCCCCTCCACCGCCCCCGCTGCTGCTGCTGTTACCGCCGCTGCCCTCTGGGGCCCCGGCGGCTCCGAGGAACTGGGGAGCCCCGTTGCTCAGCAGCATCATCTCTTCCAGCTTGGGGTAGTTGTCCATCGTGGGTGAGTGAGGAAACGAGCCGAAGGGGTCAGAGATCTGCAGCGGGGACATCAACTGCATCTCGGCCTTGGCCGCGGCCATCCCGGGGGAGCCGGCTGTACAGCTGATGTTGGGGCGGTGGGCGCAGCCCGAAGCGGGAGCTATGGGGGGGGCACACTCGCGGGCAGCTAGCCGGGTCACATGCGGGGCGCAAGGCACACTGCAGGGAGCTCAGGTGGGTTCCCCAGGTTGGCCCTCGCCGCTGACCCTGGTGGACGCAGCGTTGCCGCGGAGGATGGGGCAGGGGCCGGTCTTGCGGCGGCGGAAGCTGGTGGCGGCGGCTAATCGCGACGGCGGCTCCCTAAGTTCTGCGCGCTGGGATCTCTCGCGACTCCCCGAATCGGCCTCTATTTCAAGGGTCTGGAACAGTACCGACCCGCCTCTGCCGTGACGTACATGGCCATATATGGGAAGCAGGAAGCCCTAATATGGCAGGACCGGCCGGGAGGACCCAGAGTGACGTGAAGCACCCCCCATTCAACAGCAGTGGGCACCTCCATCCTGCGCCCTGTCTCCCGCTCCCGCATCTTAAGCGCCCAGGCTTCGGGAAAGCCGGGTACTGGGACGACAGCTGAGGCCTCCAGCGGCCAGCGGTGCGGAGTTCCCAGCCCTACGGCACCCATAACCCCCGCCCTCTCTCCCCTCCTTCCAAAGCCGGAAGCGGCAGCGCCATATCGGGCCACTCCAAATAAGGCTCTGCCCAAATAAGGACTGTTCCGGCGGGGGGATCCTTCCTGCTCCTTATATGGCGTTTCCGGGTCGCAGCTGGGCGCTCCGGCTCCCTCCTCCTCCCCTCCCCCTTGGTTCCCAGGCGGGAGCCCAAGTGCGCTCCGGACAGGGGGTGGGAGTGGTTGTGGGGGGAGGAGACGCCCGCATGGGGAGGGCGCCGGGCGCGGAGCTCTGGGCGCGCGGCCGTGCAAACGGCCCTCGGGTGTGAGCTGGGCTGGGGAAGCCCAGATCGGGCGCCGGGGCGAGGGAGAATTGGGCCGGGGCTCTGTAGCCACCATCCAGGGCTCGCCCGCCCACCGCAGGGACCGTGGGAGCGAGCGTGGAGAGGAGAAGGAGGAGCGGCTGGGCCGGCTGGGGCAAAGGCCGCCCAGGAGAGGCGGGGCCCTGACCCCGAGCCTCGACCAATGGCAAGGTGATTTTCCAGGTGTCACTGGGGAAACTGAGGCCAAGAAATTGTGGCCACATGGTTCTTGGACACTGCATAGTAATGGGACATATTCGTGGCCACAGGTCAACAGGATGGCGGTGTTGGGGCCTGGGGCCCCCGTGTACCACCCAGAATCCTGGTCCCTGCCCTTGAGCCTTTGGGGACCTGGATGGCGGAACGTGATTGTCGGAGACAGCCCCGAGTCCCCACCAGGGGCTAATGATTCCTGTGGTGGTTGGGCATTTCCTGACCTTTATCTAGTATAGGGCCCGGCGGGGCGGACCCTGCTGGATTCTGAAGAGGGACCCCTAGCTTGGCTTGGAGAGAGGGCGTGCTTGCGACTCGGTGCTTCCCCCTGGAGGTCTCTCCAGCTGTATTCCCGGCCTCTAGATGAGCCGGCTCTTCGCCGACTCCTTGATTCCCCTCCTTGGTGCGATACTGGGCACCGAGCCAGGCGGGGGAGCCTTAGACGCAGCGAGCGCGAACTGAGCAGGCGCAGCAGCCTGGGCCTTCCCTGCAGTCCCGAGGGGCCTCCACTGTGGAGGCTTCCAGACTTAAGGATAACACTTCCCACCCGGAGCCAGGCCGAGGGACAAGAACGTGGGGAGGGTGGGGTGAGTGATTTCCGCTAGTCTCCCGGGACCCTTACGCGAGCAGGGCAGCCCTCCCTACTTCACCCCAAAGGGAAAAGGGATTCCAGAAACATGAAAGCTCTTGCTTCCAGCTCTGAATCCAGGAAAGATGCTGTAATTTAGAAAGAAAGCACGATGGGCATGGTGGCTCGTGCCTTTAATCCCAGGCAGAAGCAGGTAGATCTCTGTGAGATCTACATAGCGAGTTCCAGGCCAGCAGGGGCTACAGGGAGACCCTATCTCTAAAAGATTAAAAAAAAAAAAAAAAGCACGGATACCTAGGGGTTGGATCCAGATCTCAGTAAACCTATTCTCAGGTCTAAGTCGGGTTTAAATGGGGGGCGGTGGTGCTTTCCTGCTTTTTAACTCCCAAAGTCTAGTCTCTTACCCCTTTCCTTATAAAAATCAACTTAGGGGCTGGAGAGATGGTTCATCGGTTAAGAACGCTGGCTGCTTTTGCAGCTAACAACTCCAGTTCCAAGGGATCCAACACCCTCTTCTGATATCCGCGGGCACTGCACGATATGGGTGCACTTGCTTACATGCAGGCCATGCACTCATGTACATAAAATAAAAATAAATTAAATATTTAAAAATCAACTTAAGGAAGCCACCAATGAACCAAGGTTCCCTTGTATTTGAACTCACCATCCTAACCCTGGGAGAGGTGTTGAGTTATTTACTTAGGATGCAAGAGTAAAATGCCTCTCCACAGAGGAGGAAGGGCAGGCGAGGCTAGATCCCATGCTCCCCATGACAATGCCCATTTTACCACTCTTGGTGGTATGGGTGGGTTTCTCTAACCAAACCTTTTGTATTTCACTCTTCAATTGTAAAATAGGGCTAAAGTTAATGATAATTAAAGTGGAAGGATTTCTGTATAGATTGAAATTTACAAGCCCTGCCATCTGTGAAGTACCCAAAGCCTTGCAATTGGCATTGAATAAACAAGGGTTATTGTTATTTTATTTTTAAAACTTTTATTATTTTATGTGTATGAGTGTTATGCCTGCATGTGTGTAAGTGCACCTGTGTCATGCAATAACAGAAGAGGACATTGGAGTCCTTGGAACTGGGGTTATGGACTGTTGTTAGCTGCCATGTGGGTGCTGGGATTCAATCCCTGGTCTTCTGCAAGAACAGCCAGTGCTTTTAACAACTAAGCCATCTCTCCAGCTCCCAGGTTATTGTTATTTTCATCCATCCAACCTCATTCAGCCTTCAAGAAAACCCAAATGGGTTTCGGGATGTAGCTCAGTTGATGTTCTTGCCTAGCATGCACAAAGCCCTGGGTTCTAGTATGGCATAAACTTAGCCCATGTTGGTAATCCCAACACTTAGGAGGTACATATAAGAAGATCAAGAGTTTAAGGCCACCATGGCTACTACATAACACTTTTGAAGCCAGCCAGGGTTGAGACCCTGTCTCAACAAAAGAAAACAACTCAGAAAACAAAACAACAAGTTGTACAAAGAGAGAGGCTTTCCAATCCTAACAAAAGAGGCAGTGTCCGTAAGAGCCAGTCTGTACCTTGCTGTGGTAGATCTTTTCCTAGAGCAGAATTTTTCGGTCTTATGCACAGCAGCATCACCTCTGGGGCTCTGGAAAAGAAAGCTTTTATGGACCAACTGAACCACAATCTTTCTGTGCTTAGCAAGACTAGACCTGAGAAGGCAGCTTAGCCTAGGATCCCTGTTCTATTCCCAAAGAGTTTCTCAGATTCTGAAAGAAGAGCCTCCTGGCCATGCCAGGGCCAACAAATCCCCCATGAGTCTAATGTGCCTTCATGGTTGTATCTTTTGTTTTGTGTGTCCAACACCAATTATTTTTGGAATATTCCTCATCCAACAACTTCTTTGGGGGAATTACCCCTACTTGTGGCTGGGAGAGGATAATGCTATCCTAAATCTAGGTGTAAGTCTGTATCCCAGGCCTGGCCATCCATTTAGGATCCTCTAATCTAGGAGCATTTCATTTTCCATAGTGACTGAATCCAGATGGGCACATGACCCAAACAAGGTCAGTGAGAATTATTTCTGGGACTTTTTCTGGTACTCTTGGGAAAGAAGTCTCTTTCTATGGTGATTCAAAGCCAAGAGAATATGAGTCTGGAGTCTACTTTACCCTCAGGATTGGAGACTGCCTGAGAATGAAGCTAATTGGTGGAAATCAGAGAGAAGAGATGTGCATAGCCGGAGATGTTCTTTGCATTCAACCCGGGTTTTCAGTTATGCAGGCCAATGAATTCCTTTTTCATTTAATAAAGTCAAACATCCTCAGTTCCTTGTTACTTACAGCCTAAGAGATTCTAATTAACACACCCTTAGGAATCACAGCCCCAAACTTCTCTGAGGAGCTGCTTTGAGTAAGGCTTGGCGGCAATGCATATGGCATAGGCCCTGCTTCTAAGGAGCTTAGAACTGGATAGAAACAAGCCTGGATTCTGTTACAAGAGAGTTAAGAATAGGAAGGAAGCAGTCCCTTAGCCACCAAATGTCAGTGACATCAAGGGACTTAAAAGATAAAAGAGCTAGACTGTGGAGGTACAGGCTTGTAATTTTGTGATTCCAGCATTTAGGAGGCAGAGGTAGGAGGATTACTGTACTATCAATGCTGCCAGCCTGGGTGACATAACAAGACTCTTGTCTCAAAGCAATAAAACAAAATGGGAGGTGGGGCGGGGGAGAAAGAAAGAGAGATTCCAGGGAATTTGGAGGACAGAGACAGGAACAACAAAAGGATTTCGGAGAAGGAATTGGTAAGGACCAAACTTTGTGGTGGGGAAGTAAGAGGCCATTTTAGGTCAAGCTGGTAATGGGAATGCCAGGAGTGCCCATGTCTGATCTGTCTGGGGAAAATGAGGCTAGAAAGGGGGAGATGGGCTGGAGCAGGAAGGGTTCCCATCAGGAAGTAGCAGAAGGTAAGGTTAAGCAAATTATTCCTTTTCTTTCCCTTCCCTCCCTCCTTCCCTCCTTCCCTCCTTCCCTCCCTCCCTCCCTCCCACCCTCCCTCCTTCCCTCCTTCCCTCCTGAGGCAAGGTCTCACTATATAGCCCATGCTGTTCTCAAATATGTGGTTCTCCTGCCTTGCCTAGCCCCCTGAGTGTTAGCTGAATTATTTTTTCTTTTTTTCATACATTCACACACACACACACACACACACACACACACACACACACACAGAGGCAATGTGCAACTGCCGGCAGCCTCTTCTGACTTCTGCAGCATTGTACGACATGGGTGCACTTAGCCTACATGCAGGCAATACACACATACACATAAAAATAAATAATTGTTTAAAAAAATTTTATTTATAGCCGGGCATGGTGGCACATGCTTTAATCCCAGCACTTGGGAGGTAGAGGCAGGCAGATCTCTGTGAGTTCAGTGCCCATGGAGGTCAGAAGAGGGTGTCAGATGATCCCCTGGAACTGGAGTTAGGAGAGTTGTTAGCCGCCTGTGGGAGCTAAGAATAGAACTCAGGTCCTCTGCAAAAGCAGTCAGTGCTCTCAACTGCTGAGCCAACTCTCCAGCCCA